CAATTTTCAAAAAATTTCAATTTGTGTTGAACTATTTATAGGTAAATGCAATTTTTTTTTATTATTTGTTTATTTAAACCCAAATCAATAAAAAAAATTTTGATCGGTCAAAAAACTTGAAAATTCAATACAAGGTTCCTTGTAAGCTGTTGTTAATGGAAATTAAAAAAAAAGTTGAGCTTAAATCCACAATAATTTTTTTTTGAGTGTTTAAACTTTATTACTTATTTGTTTATTTTTATCATGGCACAAATTATCATTAAATGTATCTGACCAAAAATTATTTTTGATGATAATTTGTGTCAAAAAAAAATACTACATTTTTAACCACTCAAGGGAATGTGCACATAAAACTGTTCTATAAGCAATGTATTAAAATGTGGTTATAGTATTGAGTTTCAAATTGATATTATTAAATGTACAATTTGTTTAGATTATGAATAATACACAAGATGATACTCCAGGTCGAGAATTAGTAAATAACATAGTAGAAACACAAGATACTTTAGATCAAAAAATTGATCGTAGTGAAGTTCAAATTTTTTCTAACACTGAACCAATTGTTTCAACTGATTTTAAAGAAAAGTTTGTTCATTATTAAAAATATTAAACTTATAAATACATAATAAATAGAAATAAAATAAATATCTTTTTGTTTTTAGTGATGATAATGATATGGAAGAAGCATTGTCTGTAACTAATGTGACAGATCCAAATGATGGTCGAAATCGACGTAAAGTCATGTTTCGTTCTGATGATATGAAATTTTCGGATCTTGATGAATCTGATACTGAAGATGATGATGATAACAACGATTCTGATATTGAAGATATTAACCCTGTGAGTGAAGAAAATAATGATTCTGATTCAGAATGGACAGACTCTGAAGATGAAACCGAAAACAAAAAAGATAAAACTGACAGTTCCCGTTTTTATGGACAATCATTTGGAAAAGAAAATGAAATTAGAAAAAAAATTGCCAATGAATTGGCAAAATTAGACAAAATAAACCAAGAATCAAATATTAACACCTGGAATGAGCAAGAACAAGAACACGATTATTCTGATGACAATATTGAATATGATGAAGATTCTGAAACTGAAGACGATAGTGATGGTGATAGTGACAACGAGGACAATATGGAATCTGAAGAAAGCGATGAAAATGATGTAGCTGATAAAGATACACAGCTTAAATTATTAGACAAAGTATTTAAAAAAAACTTGCTAGATCCGGAGGGAGATTCAACATTAAATTGGAAGAAAAATTTATCGCAAAAAGCATCTAATGCATATTATGAACGACAAAATTCGGTCGCTAATCTATGGAAATTAGTTTATGGTAAATTATTTTTATGGTACTATATTCAAAATAAGAATGGTAGTTAGCGGCAAACTTCTGTACAGGGGCATATCTTTGTTCCAAAGCACTAGCCTCCCGGGTCAACTTGGTGAGGGATATGTCTAACCTTCGTGTTTATAAACTTGTTGCTGCCGAATACCAATCTTATTTTCAATAGATTATAGATAATTTAATATTGGTCTAAATAAGTCAAAAATACATTTACATATTCTCAAAATTCAAACTCATATTATTATAACATTTTAAATCAACTAATATTTAACAATATGTACTTATTATTAACTTAACATTGTTGTTTTATAATATAACAATTGATAAATATTATGGAAACTTAAATTTATGTTTCATTTAAAACTGCTTAAATTAAAGTTGCAAAAATCCATCCTTGAATTAAAAATGTGATATTTAATGTTTTAAATAGGCGATGAAGTTCTTGAAAAAAAAGATGATGATACGCTTAATGATGATGAAGATGAATTAGGAGGCCTCTTTCGAATGTCTTCAATGAAAAACATAAAAAAACAAAAGGAAAAAGAAGACATGAATATAGAAGACTCGTCCAAATTTAATGTTGATCATCATCATGACTGGAGTTTATCAGAGGTAATTCTTGGAAATATTTATATTAAGTCATACATTTAAAACGTTCTTAGTAAGATCATATAACCATCTATTCATTCAACTCAAATTATTTCCATATTTATTTGTATATAATATTTCTTGCAATGTTACAATTTGTATTTAGTTTAGACATACTTTAAAATATAAATTACCAAATAACTGCTTATAAATGATGTTTTAATTGTTATTGATTGGATTAAATTATTTTATGTTTGCTAGGTTTGTGGTAGTATAAAAGACATGTTTGTTACTGGCAAATGGAGTCGTGATGAAGATGCTACAGCACTCCTTGAAGATGATAATGAAGAACTGTATGGTGATTTTGAAGATTTAGAAACTGGGGAGAAAGTTGAAGGGCAAGATTTTGATTCTGATAATGATAGTGTGGTTGAAAAGCCTAATAAGCCATTAACTGAAGATGAATTGATTGAAAAAAAAAAAAAATTAAAAGAGCAGTTTGATGAAAACTATGATGATAAAGAAGGAGGTCCAAGTACATATTACGATGAATTAAAGGAAGAAGCTTCTAAACAAGCACAACTTAACAAGAGCCAGTTTGAAGGAATGGATGATGAAATTCGTGTACAACTAGAAGGTTATAGAGCTGGAATGTATGTTCGGGTAGAATTAGATGCAATGCCTTGTGAATTAGTAAGCAATTTCGATCCATCTTACCCATTAATTGTAGGAGGATTACAAAGTGGGGAAGAAAATATTGGATTTTTGAAAGTAATTATAACATTAAGCTGAACAATGTTTTTCAGTTATTTTTATTAATAGATTGTTTTGATAAATAGGTACGAATTAAGAAACATAGATGGTACAATAAAATACTTAAAAACCGAGACCCTGTTATCATATCAATGGGTTGGAGAAGATTTCAAACATTACCAATATTTTCCAAACAAGAAGATAACATGAGACATAGGTAGTTAAACAGTTAACTTATTACATAATATTTGTGTCCATAATTTTTTTCTTTTTTATATCATATATTTAAATATTTCAGGATGCTTAAGTACACGCCTGAACATGTCATGTGCATGGCCCATTTTTGGGGTCCAATGACCAAACCCGGTACAGGGTTTTTAGCTGTTCAAAATGTTTCAAGTCAACAGGTTTGTAAAAAATTTAACAAGACGTTTTAACTTTTTTTTTATTATATTCTGTTTGTTTAAAGGCTGGTTTCAGGATTACAGCTACTGGGACAGTTGTTGATACAGACCAATCAACTCAAGTTACTAAAAAGTTGAAATTGACTGGCACTCCTTTAAAAATTTATAAAAGAACAGCATTCATTAAAGATATGTTTAATTCCACTCTGGAGGTTACCAAATTTGAAGGAGCTCGTATTAAGACTGTTTCTGGTGTTCGGGGTCAGATTAAAAAAGCTTGTCCAAAACCAGAAGGTTCATTCAGAGCAACGTTTGAAGACAAAATTAAAATTAGTGGTATTTATTGGTGTTTAATACATTTATTACATTTTTTAGAATTTTATGGAATTTTTTCTTGTGTTTCTAGATATTGTATTTTGCCGTACATGGTACAATGTTGAAGTTCCAAAACTTTATAATCCAGTTACATCATTGCTGTTGCCTTTGAACGAAAAAAATTCTTGGCGTGGTATGAAGACTACAGGACAACTAAAAAGAGAACAAGGCATTAAAGGACTCCCAGAAAATGATTCTATGTATACTGTAAGTATTTTTCTTATTTTCTTAATACAAACAATTTTTATGGTTATAATTTATTATAAAACTATTTCTTACTCATCTTATAGCCAATACATAGGAGTATGAAACATTTCAAGCCTCTCAAACTTTCTAAGAATTTGCAAGCTCAGTTACCATATGCAGACAAACCCAAGACGTTGGCTACAGCTAAATTAGACTTGAAAAAACAACGTGTGGCCGTGGTTAGAGATGGTCACGAAGAACAAGTTGCTTCTTTAATGAAGATGATTCGAACCACTTATAAGGAGAAGAAACGAAAAGATAGAAAAGACATGAGAGTGAGAGTTAGGCAACATAAGAAAGACATTCAAACAGAAGTAAGAGCTAAATATAAGAGAGATCAACAAAAGAAAAAAGCTGTTATGAGAAAACGTTCTAAAATGTCATCTACTAAATAATTTATGTTTTGTCTATTGTTTTCAATTTGTATATCAATATCTTAAATCTTTTAATTTTATTTAATTAAAATGAAAAAGCAAATCAATTTGTTTGTTATCTTTAAATTGCTTATAAACCAATATATTATTAAGTATTTATATCCATAAAACAGGGTATTTTTCAGTTTTAACTCTAGTGTGGGCTTGGGTTGGCATTTCAAATTTTGATACCGGTATCCGGTATTTGTTTTTCATTTAAGTCATTAGCTAAGTCAGTAAGTCATAGATGTCTTATATTTTTCATCTCTGATTTATACACACTTAAACTGGTAACATTCCTACTGATTGTTATTGTTAGCTGGATATCAGATAATTTATTAATATAAGTAAATAATAAATTTCAGGTACCTAATCATTATATGTATTATATAATATATACATAAATTAAAGATACCTACACAAATTTTATGTTGATAATTTTACAATTCATTATGACCATGTAGGTTAGTAATTCTGGTAAATTACGAATAACAGTGTATTTTCTAATGACCGCTTGATTTATTTTTTTTTATAATTTTTATAATCCTTAGTAACTAATAAAAAAAAATAATTATGTGTATTTCAATTTTAAGCTAGTTCACTAATATTAAATTGGCGATCGCCTGGTACATGAATGTCCTTGTAATAGAGGCGGTACTCATAAGGTAGTGTAGTTAGTTACCTAGGTTAGGCTTACCTAACAAGTTTATGATACAATTAGATAAAACTTGTTCAACCTAAATATAGTTTAATAACTATCATTTATAATACTCAATATTTAAATTTACAAAGTATACGTTTTAGAATAAATAAAATGTTAATGTTTAATTTTAGTTTTATACATTTTATTATAACTATTATATTATGAACAAGTATAAAACAATTAATTATCAAGTAGTATAAATTAATAATAAATTCTCCATTAGGTAAACTGAAGATTTAAAATCATCACAATTTCATAAAATAATTATATAGGTACTTTTTTTATACAGTTAGGAGTTTGGACACTAGGTTCTATACTTCTATTGGTAATCATATAATACTTTAAGTAAAAATACATAATCTATATACATTATGTACTGATTATCAACTAATAACCATAATATATTGATTGCTTCTACCTTTGACAAATTAAACTTTGTATATTAATTAAAAAACTATACTTAGATAATTTCCCATGTACAGAACAGCTATATATCTGTATGTCGTATGACATATCTACCTATATTATACTCTACTTATTTTAACAATAGTCAATAACTAAGCAAATGTTCAAAATTAGTGTAAAAAATATACCCTGAGCCATGTAGGTAGTCCAATGTTAGCGAGGATTAAAAATAAAGATACTTAAAGTAGGTACCTATTAGCTATAGTGCTATACAATTTTTTTTAATTTTAAAGATTCTGACAAGGCATGAATTATATTGTTCTCTATGATTTTCATTAGAAATCTCGGTAGTTATACATGTTATTCCTACTTAGGTACCTAAGTTTAGGTAACTACTGTTCCTTGTTTAGACATATTTACGTATTACGTATTATAATCATAGTGCACAATATTTAATATTGACGACAGACGAGTAAGAACGGAGACGGGAGAACGGTAGTTGCATTATACGGTGAGTACATAAAATATTTCATTACTCAATAAAGTATTTTCCTATACTTAAAATAATAGTGTATATAAATAAATCTAAACGAGTGTGTGACTGTGTGGGACAGAGATCAATGATTGATTTTGACAGTTGTTGTTACGCATGCCATCTAATACGGCGGTTACAAATAGGTGTCTCAACATCATTTGTCATTTTCCGAACAATTTATCTAAGTAATTATACATAGGTACCTATTGTTGCTTAGCTTTGGCTCTAATCAAGTAATTCGAAACATATGAATAAAATAATCTAGACGTCTTATAAACCAAGTACACTACGATCAAGAACGACACGACAACGACAAAAATGACATCCAGTAACATGTATTGATACCACGTGAGGTTCAGTGCTTCGGATTTCAAGTGGTGGCCACCTTTGTGACGAAGCACGTACTCCGTCCAGTAGACAACAGACTCTTGAGGCGTCATCGGGCGGTCTTTGAAACGGTCCGCGGTAATTAAAGCATTTTTTTTGTAGCTGTAAAAAGCAATGTTAATAAAAATAAATAATTCAGTTAAAAATGTTAAAATATTTTCAAAAACGTTTCACATAAGCATTTAACAAGGTATATACAACGCAATTTATAAAATAATATAATATAATATGTACAGAGTGATTCACTAAGCATGCTCACCCCCATATTTTCCTTAAATATATTTATTCAAATTCGACAAATTCTGATTTTTAGAATTTTTCAATGTGCCTATTTAAAGACTATTTTTAAAATATAAGAATATTTTTGTACAAATTAAGGTGTCCTGTGGTGTTACAAATTTCTGTTTTCCAAATGAGAACCCCCTTTTTTACTTTAAATTATTCGTAAACGGAAAACTGGTACCATCTTTATAAACGCGGAATACTGGTACGGTCCACTATAGTCAAGGTTTTCCAAACTTTTATGAAAAAAAAATGATTAAAATATCAACGATTATTTTTTATTTTATTTTATCGACGGTCGATGGGAAACCACGAGTGACTGCAATGTAATTTTATGATTGTATGCGTACAGAGAATACAGTTGTAGCAGTCGGAAATTGTTATTTTTAAACTTTGATTGCTAATATTTTTTTTTGTTTTAAGTATTATTTAAATTTAACTTGTTGACGATGATGATTTATCAAAATTATATTATAACCATTGTAAATATTTTAGAACCCCTGGCAATTAAATTTTGAATAGTACCAGTTTTCCGCGTTTTTTATTCCTTTTGTTATAAATTGTATGGACCGTACCAATATTCCGAGCATTAAATTATTTAATGGGCATTTTTTTAAATGTATCTAATACAAAATTCGATTGTATAGTTTCTCGGTCATTTGTCTTTAAAAATGGTCTTAACAGAATATAACATTTAATATGCAATATTAGATCTAGTATTTACTATACCTACTTGGATCTTTTTTAAAAATGATGAATATTGGCAGATTTATATATATCACTGAACTTTTCAAATATTCATGTCTCCAATATCTTGGAAACTCATTATATCATAAACCTATTATCCTTTATACACGAAGTTAAATAATTATTTATTATTATCTATTATTATTTTTTTGAACGCGAGGCACAAATCTGAGTAAAAAGCGAGAGTCCCATGGATTTATTAGACCCTGACCATCTTGCCTTATGGCCTTAGAGAGCCTAGATAATAAATTATTAAAATAATAAATTATTATCTGGGCTCTCTTGCTAGTGTACCTGGCGCTAAGCAGGCCCTCTCTGACCCCGAAAGCATAGAACACTCCAATCATATAATCTATGTATCATACTTTGTGTTGTGTAAAAGCTCTTTGATGGAGTGTAGAAATCGTTGTTCGGTGATCGACAATAATTCCATTGTGATCGCCATACCTGCGTCCACTAGACTTTGCAAGTTTCTCGGTTGATCGTAGTAAAGCGGAAATCCCAAAACCGGAACACCCGCGTCCACTGCTTCGTACACGCCAGATATCCCGCCATGACTTATGAACAATTTGACATTAGGGTGCACTAATAATATAATATTAAAATCCTCAGGTCGTTAAAAGATTGAAAACGCCTATGACCTATTATTGTTAAATGTTTTTGATGAAATTTGATGTTTAAACGTAAAATAAGTATAATAACATACGGCTTTGAATTTAAATGTTTATAATTAATTTGCATTATTACTATTACTAATATTATTACTTTTTACTCCAGTAAATTAAAACTTAAACGTTAAATATATATATTTTTCGTTAGTGCGACTACTGACTAGTCATTGACGTTGGGTTTGAACATAATAAAATACTTTGTTACACAGTTGAACAATAGATAACAATATAATGATTAATAATAAATAAGAATAATAAAAGTAAATACTCACACAGGACGTCACGTTGAGGAAACCAGTTGCCTGTCATCACGTTGTCCGGTTTGTCTTCCATTTCACCTTCATATTTCCACAATACTCTTTGAGGAATCTGTCGGAATACGTTTTTAAATGTATCCTGAATATGGTCTGGTAAACTTGACATGGCTATGACTGATCCGAAAGTAAAATAAATAACACCATCTGGGGAATTTTCAATAAATTCAAGGATATTCTGAAAAGTTAAAAATGTATTATAATTTTTTCAGTCTATAATAAATTTCAAAACTGAGATCTAAGAGTGTTCCGGGACACCAGGAAGTTCCCGGTGGTCCGACCTATTAAGCCCATTGTCCTGACGGGTGGAGTACGAGTCTACCTTTTTGAGTATACGATTGCGTGCAGTGCGGAATAATAAAGACATGTTGATCCAAATGTTTTGAAAATATCATTGCGTATTTTATGATAATATACGTAAAAGTTTCAAGTCCCCACGAAAAGTGTTTTTAAATACAATCGCTCAGTTCAGAATTTAAAAAAATATAGTTGAAGCAAACTTTCAAACATTTTATTATCATTATATTATAGTGTTATAATATTTATATGGTATTTATAGTCAATGATATTGAGTTTTAATGGACAGATTAAAGTAATTAAGTCAATAATGAATTAAACGAATTATGAAAATATTTATATTATTACAATATTACTTACATAAAAACAATAAACATATTACAACTATTGTCGTATTGTGGAAGTGTTGAAGTGGCTTTATATTCTATTTAACAATCGCCAATAGCTAGGTAGGTACTTAAATTTTGAAGCTTCAGATTATTATAATTATTTTACAATTAAACACGTTATTGTTATATGCTAAAGAAAGGCATGTCAAGATTTCTATTTTAGAAAATGTAATACTATTCGAGTGCTCTACAAATATAAATTTGATGTATTTATGTTGTAAACAAACTTGTAATACATTTACCAATATGTAATTATGTAATATATACTAATATAATAATATCCCGTGTGGGTTAGATCTTTACAAAAGATAATTTGGAGATAATTTTTCCCAGTTAGTTGATGTGTGTCACCTATATATTTAGATGTCTTATTGGGTAAGATATAATTAGAAGGAATTCGCATAAATATTTTTTTTAAATATGAGGGTCTCCCCAATCTAAACCCCCTCGATTCAACCCACTGCATACATTGATATTGATACATATAATAGTATGAAGATTTAACAAGATTAAAACGAGACGAAGAGCAGCTTTCTCGATCGAAATTTGTCGGGACAAGGGGTAAATGGTGCCTCAAAAAAAAGACAGTCCCATTTTACACTTGCCGTATGGTTTACTACCTTTAGTAGTGCAACTAGGAGACCATAGCAATAGCATGCTTGACTAAAATTTAACTCCCCCCCTAACCTAATCTAACCTAGGCAGACAAATAACTTTGTTTAACTAATAAGGGTAAGGTCAAATCGCACTAATTTTTGTCGAATTTTTTCTCTGGACAGAAAACGGTAATGTTCGAAATTTGAATTCCGCCAGTTTCGATCATTCATCATATAATATAAGATACAACCCATTTATAAGAAAATATCACAATATCAGCTGACGAGTTTTAATTTTTAATTTCTAATGTTTATCGCTTTTATTATGATAACTAGTCACCTACATTGAAATTTATAGCTAAAATTTAAAAATAATATAAATATATGTATTTACATTTATTTTAAATTATGTAGTAACGTTTAAAAAAGTGTTAAAAACACTAGTGCAATAAATTCAAATATTTTAATTTTTGTACATTTCTATATAATCGACTCACTATTCTCAGTGCCACTTAGGTACCTACATAAAAAAACAACATACACTCGTTGTAAAACTACAATCTACCTACATTTTTCACTTCGCAAAACTGGTGAGGAGCGGGGGGTCAGTCACAGGACCGGGATTAAGTCGATAGTTTTGGCAAGGAACGTTGATAGTTCGACAGTTATTCAATCACACAATTATACATATACTAGAAAGACTTATGAAAAATATAGAGAAACAAAAAAAAGAAACTATATATAATGATATTAGACAGTTAAAGATGTGTAAAATAAATAGTATATAATTAGTTAATAATATATACGAAAATAGTATAAACCACCTTAAATTAAGAAGCAAGCTCCCAATAATAAGTTAATTATTTTTTGATGACCAGTAATAATGTAATTTTACCAAATAAAAAAAGTAACTTATACGAATAATCTAACTGTCAAAAAAAAGGAACTTCCCCAATATTATGAATTTCAGGTCACTGTGTCAAATCTATTCATACAGGTCATGGATACTCACGGTCGGTAGTGCGCTGCCGTTCGAGTCCAAGTGTATTCCACCAACGTGTATGACGTTGGTGGGCAGTAACATGGTTGGCTCTGTGACGTGGTGACTGTTGACAAACACGACTGATGGTTTGGCTGGCTCGTCGACGTCGTACGGACGCCGCAGGGCCGTGAGCTCGGCGTACCACCGGACAAGCCGTCCATAGGCGTACATGGCCGTGTTGACTAATCTGTGACGGAACGCCCGGACAGCCGAGCCGTAGAGCAGGTGCGGCACGTACGCCGGGTTGGCCGAGTGGCCGACGATGGACGGTTGCATGTACGTGATCATGGGCGTCGGTACCACGTACACCATGGGCAGCCCAATGGCCGCGGCCAGGTGTGCCACACACTCGGAGCCCAGCGGCTCGGTGACCAGCAGGTCGAATCGGGCCGCAGTGTCAGTGCCGTTGACCATGAGCGCGCGGATCTGTTCCATATCGTACACCGCGTCGCAGAACTGTCTGCTCCACCGGACCACGGACGGCACGATGTACGACAGCCGGCTGTAGTCGGACAGCACGCGGGAGGCGAGTTCACCAGCGTGCCTCAGCAGAACGGCGGACGTGTCCACTTCCGTGTAATTGCCGTACGCGGACGCCGGCTTCTGCGCCGGGTACGACGTGAACGCCACCACGGAGTGGCCCCGGTCAGTGAGCGCCCGCAGCACGGCGCTCATAAAATTCCAGTGGCTCCGACCCGGCACGGTTTCCACGGCCAGTATGTTGGCCGCACGAAAGAGAGTCGGCGGTGGTGGCGTCGCGTGACCCGTGGTCAGCGCCGTCGCAGAGCAGAGGATGACGATGACACAAAGACGACGGGTCGGCGACATGACGGCGATTGGATTTGGCCTCACGCCGTCGAGTGATTTATATACTACGGCTAGGAGCAAGTGCCTCGAGGCTAATCGCTCAGTAATCTGCGGTGAACGAGAATCGCAGTTATGACGCGGCCACCGCCGCGATACAGTTGTAGTTGACGGAATCGTTACCACTCGTCGATGTCGGTGATGCGATGACGAAATCAGTAAAATATTATTAGAATAACAACACTTTTCTAGTTTCATCGTGGAAATTTCCGTGCCTATACCTATAACATAACTACCTATAGCTGGCAGTAGTGTTGGGGGGTTACAACCTTACAAGTTACTGTAAATAACGAAATCACTTTTTAAGTCAATTAAATGTCACTTTAGATGACATGTAGTAATGGAATTCGACACAACAAAAGTGAATAATTTATATACAATATTAAAATGTAATTCGAAACGTAGTCGTAATGTAATTACCAAAAATGAGTTCCCCGATACTGGCTGTAGGTAATAATTAATGACAAAAAAGGGTAAACTCACAAAACTACAAAGAATGACCTCAACACTCAACAGTTCAGTAAATGTCCTAAAAATGAAATCACATCTTAACAGCTATATAGAAAAGCAACGTCAAAGACGTTCCAAAAAAACAAAAAAAAATTTTCAACATCCGGTTTCTAAAAAAAATATTATAATTACTAATTGGGATAAAGTTATAGAATCATTTGCAAACAAAAAATATCGTAAAAAACATTTGTAACTATAAATTTATATTAAGAGATATTCTACATAATACTGTTATTTTTAATTTGTTACAATAAATTATCTTTTGTTTTATATTTAAATACAAAGAACAAAATGAAAAATGGTATAAAATAAGTTGTTTTGTATGGTTCCTGCAGTTTCATTTTAAATAATATATTTTGAGTAAAATAAAATGTATTTTTAGATGTGTTAAAATTGTCATTAGATAAAGTTATGATTATAAAGATTATATTTGATTTTCAGGTTGTAAATATTTTTGATTTTAAAGGCTTAAAACACTGCGAAAAACACTACCTCTCCCAAAAATTAGGTTTCTTAATCATTTAAATACTGAACACTACAGAACCGTATTAGTACATGATGGGTAATAAAGAACTGTGCCTAGGGCCTACGATAGTGTTAATCCGGGTCTGAATATTACGATGCGTTGACATATTTACAGGCGATAATCCGGAGCAACACCCATTGATGCAGCCTGTCACGTGTGATTATATATTATTGTTATTTGTTATGTAATTATAATATGCATATTACCTATTTGACGAAAAAAAAACGTAAACGATTTCGTAGACTCTCGTGATAATATAACGTATATTGTATAATATATTTTGCATACAGCGTGCCATGCGTGGTTTAACTGCAGTTTCTGTTGTATAGTTGACATGCGATGTTAATAATATATGTATAATATAACTACAGTCTACCTGTAAAAATTCGAGCAACCAGCTACGTGGTATCTATATAATCATAATAATAATATTATATGGTTATGAAAAGTGGTTAGTAATGTATCATAATTATTATTATCATTGAGATGTGCGTGGGTTAGGCACGATGCGATAATGTTTTTATGCTGTTTGTTCAGTTGCATTGATTTCCGCAGAAGGGTAGTTTTTTTGAAAATATATTCTGAATTCCTTTTCAAGGTAGAATTTTTTTGATTATACATATATTTTTGAAAAACAATTATTTTTACCCTTATTATCATAATTTTATTATAACATGTCTTATTTTTTCGAATTACTGAAACATATATTTTAATTTCATATTCCTAAGTATAATCTGTACACACTATATACTTATACAAAAGTTGAAGTCGATAATAACTTAATACAATTTTAGGTCAACTAAATACTGTCTAAATTTTTCCCCGGTACCCTAGGTACATACCATTAAACTTGATATGATAGTTTTTTGTCGCAGTCCATACTGACCAAATGTCATATTATTGTGATTTTCTCCGAGATTTTCTTTATGCTCACGGTTTGAAAACAAAAAGCTTGCAAATATAAATTATAGTGTACGATAATATTAAATATTTAAATAATGATACAAATATGTTAGGTACTATTTGTCTAAATCACAAAGTTTATAGAAGTGGTGTATACAAATATTATATTGTATTACATTTATATGCACTTTACTAACACTCAACTGCAGCAAACGACACACTGACACTATATAATTGTTATGACTTGAGTTTTTTAATCTACCACATATTATTAATTTTAATAACGCGTTTATTATTCAAAACAATACAAATTACTAACAAACGTGATAACTATAAATATATATTTATATTATATTATATTCAGTATATTATTCTGTTCTGTGATAATATATCATATAATACGGATTATTTAACAATATCTGATAGTCACCAACAACCAAGGCCGTAACTGGTGGGGGGGGGGGGGGCCCGGGGGGCCCGCCCCCCCCCCCCGAAATTTTTAAAAGTAGAAACATTTTAGCGGTGAATATTATTTAACTATACTAAAACTATACCTAGAAAAAATGTTAGACCCCCCCCGAAATTTTTTTCCAGTTACGGCCTTGCCAACAACAACCATTCTTATAAATGCATTTGACAACTCGTAGCTCTATAATAAACACGTGCACGTGAGTTACAGACAACGTTCAACCGGAAAGTTTTCTTCCAATCATCGTAAATTGTCAACCTCTTTATCTGGGTAGTAATATTCGAAGGGAAATGTTGTGGCGACCGATGAGTTATCGGAACCATCACATAGATTTTTGTTGTTCACTCGATGACTTTTGTCGGACACGTGGTGACGATTTTTGGGGTCGACGTGATGAACTTTTCTAGGTGGACGTCGACTTTGTTGCTGAACACGCTTCGTCTATATCCAATGCTCGTAGAGAGCCCGAAGTAGTGGACGTTTGCAGCTAACTCGGGGGGTCGACAACCGTGGGACACTCGTCTTTTGAATACGGGTGGACATTCGACGGCCACGTGTTGATTTTTGCCAGTCACGATTTTCATGGCCAAGCATTGTCTTTTGTTGTAGGTTTAACGATGATTTTTTATGATGGTGTGGTAAACGTCTACTTTTTTCGGCTGCAGCTTGACGAACTTTGCGCGGCTGCAAATGTCGACCTTTGCTGGCCAAGGGCTGTCTTGTATTTTGTTGGTTTCTCATCATTTCTATAGAAGGTATAATATCACGTTCTATTAACATATTGAATTTATATGTCTGTTAAAAAAGATTAAACGTGTTGGACAAATTTGGACAGTCAATTTATTTCGAATTACGACCACAAAATATGTTGGGTTACCCTTGCGTTTGCATGTAGTTTTGTCATTAAACAGTAATATAATACGATTTAAGATTTATGTTAGTCATTCATACCGTAAAATTAATAAATATGCATTATGTCAAAATATTGTATTCGTTCACTCTCTAATTATCGATGTCGTTGGTTTTCGCGAGTATCTCGAGGAAGATATTATTAAGCTTAAGTCCAACCAATTTTGTTTTAAACAAAAGAGCTATTTAAATAATTAAAATTGAAAAATTAGTTGAAATAAAATGGTTTTAATTTAATTATAAGATTCTCTAAGTTTTAAAAACATCATGTCTTTAGTATAAGTAAAAATGTTTTAAAAAAATAATAGCTGAACAATTATTTATTGTGTATCTTATTTTTGATTAAATAATTTGATTTTCTTAGTGTAAAAAGTAATATTTTCTTTTTACAAATAACATATATAAATGTATTATAACAATGATAATTGTTGTGCTATTATTTAATTCTTAAGATTTCGTTGAATTAAATTTGTACATTGATTATTTTTATGGTGACATTTTATACTTTTATAAGTTAGAAATCATCATCTTTTTTCTTTAAATGAATAGTCGTTTTTCATTAATCCTACGACACTTTTTTCTGAGTGTTATAATATAATGACTTTATGCAAACATTTATAGTTATATTGGTTTACAAAGATGTGTATTTTTTAAGTGCCTAAAGGTACTTATTCGTAAAGTTGTAAAAATACCTAGAAAAAATTATTCCTATAAAATGGTTGAAAATATTTCTTGTACATTTGTAATGTATCTATAATTAGAATAGAGTATAGGTAGGTAATAATTAGAGCTAGGATTTTAAAAACCTAAAAATTACACAAAAATGCACTAAAAAAATGCAAAAAATGACCTAAAAACTTTAAATAATGAACTTAAAAAATAACCAAAAAATGTACTTAGATGAGCGAAAAAAATTTATTTTAAAAATAAATATTATTATTAATTATTAACTATGAACACAATAGACTTGTGAATGTAACCGTTTCCTGATAAAATTATTCTGAAAAATCAATAAAAGTATAAATTAAAATAATTTAATCAAAAATATATCATTTTTTTTTCACCTGTACCCTTATTATTGCATTGCACAATTAGATGATTTTTAAGATTTTCAAACAGGAAGCTGCGATGGCGGTCAGATAAAATATTTTTATATGAAGAAAAACTTCGTTCAACGTCCACAGAAGTAACAGGGGCATATTTGAAATGAACCATATCATTTAAAGTTAGGTCTTCCAGAATATCATCTCTACTTGTTGTATTTTCACCGTCCAGAATAGCAAATATATTTTTGGAGGCAACTGCAACATTACAAACTTTACAAAAAAGCACCATACCGTCCGTAGAAAAAATATCGGCACCAAACTCACTCATAAAACTAAGTAAACGACTTCCTACTGCTGACTTAATTTTTGGCATTTTGTACAATTAAGATCGGTAGAACCACTTAGGTACGTGTCGAATTCACTACTAAAGCTACTTTTGTATATCTAAATAGTTATGGGTTCGTTCGATATTTAATCTTATCGGATAAATCAACAATTAATTATATTACTTTTTCAATATCAATGGACTGGAGTAGGTAATTACCTATAAAGGTACTTATTGGGATTACCTTTACAAAAAATATTAAAAAAGCTTAAAATAAACAAAAATTAGTTTAAATACACAAAATGAAAGTAATATTTGTAATATTAAGTAAAAATGATACTACTTATTTTATACAGTGTTTTCTATACCTATACAATTATTTCATGACGATTAGTCCCATTGAGTTTCATAAATATTAATTATTGATTAAAATATTGGAGAACTGTCAACACACAATGCGGAGACATGGAGTTATACATTGGTAATATGGTTATAGAT